AAAAATCAGCCCGAGTTCAAGGATAAAGGCGATGAGTTTTGGTCATTGGCTCATTTGGTGTTGAACTAGGTTTAAAACTAATCAAAACTTGGCTGGTCATTTTTTGCCCAAAATCAACCTCGAGTCATAGTCTAAGCCGATGAGCCTCGATGGTTGCCTCACTTTCCATGAGGTAGTTCAAGAAAACTTCAAACCGGGCCATAAATTTTTCCTATAGATTTTTTGTGCTCACTCGGACCGACTATTCTAGGAGCTCGAAAGCCTCGCATGTAAGTATCATCTCAAAAAACTAAAAAAATTGCACTTTTTACCCCTAAACGTCGTCTTTTTTAAAAAATAATACCGAGGTCTTAGCCAAAGGCAATGAGTTTTAATCGTTCACTCGTTCGGCTTCAAAATAGGTCTATAACCACTTAAAACTTGGTCGAGTCATTTTTCGATCAAAATCAACCTTAGGTTCTTCGTCGAGGCCGATGAGTCTCGATGGATGTCCTTTTTTTCATGAGTTAGTTCCCAAAAAACTCAAACATGGGCTTATAGTTTTTCTATGAATTTCTTCGTGCTCGTTCACATCGACTATTCTATAACCTCGAAAGCCCACATGCCCGTATCATCTCGAAAATTTTAGGCCTAAACGTCATTTTTTTGCAACAATCAGCTCTAGGTCAAGGCCAAAGGCGATGAGTATTGGTTGTTGTCTCATTTGGCATCGAACTAGGTCTAAAACTAAACAAAACTTGGCCGATCGTTTTTGGCCCAAAATCAACCTCAGCTCATAGTCTAAGCCGATGAGTCTCGATGGTTGCGTCACTTTCCATGAGGTAGTTTAAGAAAAACCTTAAACTAGGCCTTAAAGTTTTCGTACGGATTTTTCTATGCTCGCTCGGATCGATCGTTCCGGGAGCTTAAAAGCTCGCATGCCGGTATCATCTCAAAAAATTAAAAAAGTGCATTTTTTACACCTAAACGTCGTTTTTTACAAAATAACCTAGAGGTCATGGCCAAAGATAATGAGTTGTGATCGTTGGCTCGTTCGGCTTTGAACTATGTGTAAAACCACTCATAACTTGGTCGGTTGTTTTTGGGCCAAAATCAACCTTAGTTCATAGTTGAGGTCGATGAGCCTCGATGGTAATCCCTTTTTCCATGAGGTAGGTTCCAAAATCCACAAACATGGGCTTATAGTTTTTCTATAGATTTCTTCTCGCTCATTCACATTGACTATTCTATGACTTCGAAAGCCCACATGCCCGTATCAACTCGAAAAGTGAAAAAAAAGTATTTTTTGAGCCTAAACATCATTTTTTTGCAACAATCGGCTCGAGGTCAATGCCAAAGGTGATGAGTTTTGGTCGTTGGCTCATTTGGCGACGAACTAGGTCTAAAACTAAATAAAACTTGGTCGATCATTTTTGGCCCAAAATCAACCTCGGCTCATAGTCTAAGCCGATGAGTCTCGATGGTTTCCTCACTTTCCATGAGGGAGTTCAAGAAAAACCTTAAGCCGGGCCTTAAAGTTTTCCTATAGATTTTTCTATGCTCGCTCGGATCGACCATTACGGGAGCTCGAAAGCCCGCATGCCGGTATCATCTCAAAAAACTAAAAAAGTGCATTTTTTATGCCTAGACGTCGTTTTTAAAAAAATAACCCGAAGGTCATGGCCAAAGGTAATGAGTTGTGATCGTTGGCTCGTTCGGCTTTGAACTATGTGTAAAACCACTCATAACTTGGTCGGTCGTTTTTGGGCCAAAATCGACCTCGGTTCACGATTGAGGTCGATGAGCCTCGATTGTTATCCCTTTTTCCATGAGGTAGGTTCCAAAAACCACAAACATGAGCTTGTAGTTTTTCTATAGATTTCTTCGTGCTTGCTCACTCCTACCATTTTATGACCTCGGAAGCCCACATGTTCATATCACCTCGAAAAGCAAAAAAAGGTATTTTTTGGGTCTAAACGTTGTTTTTTTACAAAACTTAGCTCGAGGTCAAGGCCAAGGATGATGAGTTTTTATCGTTGGCTCATTTGGCATCAAACTAGGTGTAAAATAAGTCAAAACTTGGCCGGTCATTTTTGGCTCGAAATCGACCTCGGCTCATAATCTAAGCGGATAAGTCTTGATGGTTGCCTTGCTTTCCATGACGTACTTCAAGGAAACCTCAAACCGAGCCTTAAAGTTTTCCTATATATTTTTTCGTGCTCGCTCGAGTCGATTGTTCCGGGAGCTCGAAAGCTCGCATGCAAGTATCTTCTCAAAAAAACTAGAAAAGTGCATTTTTCGCCCCTCAACGTCATTTTTTTCAAAAATAAGCCCAAAGTCATACCCAAAGGAAATGAGTTTTAATCGTTCGCTCGTTTGGCTTCAAAATAAGTCTAAAACGACTCAAAACTTGGTGGGTCATTTTTGGGCCATAATCAACCTCGGCTCACATCGAGGCCGATGAGTCTCGATGGTTGTCCCTTTTTCCATCGGGTAGGTCCCAAAACCTCAAATGAGCTTAAAGTTTTTGTATAGATTTCTTCACGCTCGCTCACATCGACCATTCTATGACCTCGAAAGCCCACATGCCCGCATCATCTCGAAAAGTGAAAAGAAAGTATTTTTGGGGGCTAAATGTCATTTTTTTACAATAATCGGCTAGAGGTCAAGGCTAGAGGTCATTTGTCATCGAACTAGGTCTAAAACTAATAAAAACTTGGTCGATCGTTTTTGGCTCGAAATCAACCTCGACTCATAGCCTAATCGGATGAGTCTCGATGGTTGCCTCGCTTTCCATGAGGTATTTCAAGAAAACCACAAACTAGGCCTTAATGTTTTACTATAGATTTTTTCATGCTCGCTCGAATCGACCGTTTTAGGAGCTCGAAAGCCCGCATGGAAGTATCATCTCAAAAAACTAGAAAAGTGCATTTGTTGCCCTAAACGTCGTTTTTTTTTTTTAAATAAGCCTAAGGTCATGGCCAAAGGAAATGAGTGGAGATCATTGGCTCGTTCGGCTTTGAACTATGTGTAAAACTACTCATAACTTGGTAAGTCATTTTTGGGTCAAAATCAACCTCGACTCATCGTTGAGGTCGATGACCCTCGATGGTTATTCGTTTTTCCATAAGGTAGGTTCCAAAAACCTCAAACATGGGCTTACAATTTTATTAACTCGAAAGCTCACATGTCCGTATCATCTAGAAAAGCGAGAAAAAGATATTTTTTGGTCTAAACGTTGTTTTTTTGCAAAAATCAGCCCGAGGTCAAGGTCAAGGATGATGTGTTTTGCTCGTTAGCTCATTTGGCATCAAACTAGGTGTAAAATAAGTCAAAACATCGCCGGTCATTTTTGGCTCGAAATCGACCTCGACTCATAGTCTAAGCATATGAGTCTCGATGGTTGCCTCACTTTCCATGAGGTAGTTCAAGAAAACCTCAAAGTAGTCCTTAAAGTTTTCCTATAGATTTTTTTATGCTCTCTCGGATCGACCGTTTCGGGAGCTCGAAAGCTCGCATGCAAGTATCATCTCAAACAACTAGAAAAGTGCATTATTTGCCCTTAAACGTCGTTTTTTTTCAAAAAATAATCCTAAGGTCATGGCCAAAGGCAACGAGTTTTTATCGTTTCCTCGTTCGGCTTCAAAATAGGTCTAAAACCACTCAAAACTTGGTCGGTCATTTTTGGGCCAAAATCAACCTCAACTCACGGTCGAGGCCGATGAGCCTCGATGTGTGTCCCTTTTTCCATGAGGTAGGTCCTAAAAACCTCAAAAATGGGCTTATGATTTTTCTATAGATTTCTTCGGACTCGCTCACATCAACCATTCTATGACCTCGAAAGCCCACATGCCCGTATCATCTCAAAAAGCAAAAAAAGTATTTTTTGGGCCTAAACGTCATTTTTTTGCAACAATCGGCCCGAGGTCAATGCCAAAGGCGATGAGTTTTAGTCGTTGGCTCATTTGGCATCAAACTAGGTCTAAAACTAATCAAAACTTGGACGATCGTTTTTGGCCCGAAGTCAACCTTAACTCATAGTCTAAGCGGACGAGTCTCGATGGTTGCCTCACTTTCCATGAGGTAGTTCAAGAAAACCTCAAACCAGGCCTTAAAGCATTCCTATAGATTTTTTTATCCTCGCTCCGACCGACCGTTCTAGGAGCTCGAAAGCCTACATGCAAGTATCATCTCGGAAAACTAGAAAAGTGGATTATTTACCCCTAAAGGTCGTTTTTTCCAAAAAAATCCCGAGCTCATGGCCAAAGGCAATGAGTTTTGATCATTCCCTCGTTCGGCTTCAAAATAGGTCTAAAACCACTCAAAACTTGATTGGTCGTTTTTGGGCCAAAATCAACCTCTCGCTCACAATTGAGGCCGATGAGTCTCGATGGTTGTCCCTTTTTCCATGAGGTAGGTCCCAAAAACCTCAAACATGGGCTTATAGTTTTTCAATAGATTTCATCGCGCTCGCTCACATCGACCATTCTATGACCTAGAAAGCCCACATGCCCGGATCATCTCGGAAAGTGAAAAAAAAGTATTTTTTAGGCCTAAATGTCATTTTTTTGTAGCAATCGGCTCGAGGTCAAGGCCAAAGGCGATAAGTTTTGGTCTTTGGCTCATTTGGCATCGAACTAGGTCTAAAACTAATCTAAACTTGACCGATCATTTTTGGCCCAAAATCAACCTCGGCTCATAGTCTAGGCGAGATGAGTCTCGATGGTTGCCTCGCTTTCCATGAGGTAGTTCAAGAAAACCCGAAACCGAGCCTTAAATGTTTCCTATAGATTTTTTTGTGCTCGCTCGGATTGATCTGTTCTAGGAGCTCGAAAGCTCGCATGCAAGTTTCATGTCAAAAAACTAGAAAAGTGCATTTTTTGCCCCTAAACATCATTTTTCTCAAAAAATAATCCTAAGGACATGGCCAAAGGCAATGAGTTTTGATCATTCGCTCGTTCGGCTTCAAAATAGGTCTAAAACCATTCAAAACTTGGTCGGTCATTTTTGGGCCAAAATCAATGTCGACTCACGGTCGAGGCCGACGAGTCTCGATGGTTGTCCCTTTTTCCATGAGGTAGGTCTCAAAAACCTCAAACATGACTGTATAATTTTTCTATAGATTTCTTCATGCTTGCTCACACCAACCATTCTATGACCTCAAAAACACACATGCCCGCATCGTATCGAAAAACGATAAAAAGGTATTTTTTTTGGGCCTAAACTTGTTTTTCTACAAAAATCCGCCCAAGGTCAAGGCCAAGGGCGATGAGTTTTTATCATTGGCTCATTTAGCAATCAAACTAGGCCTAAAATAAGTCAAAACTTTACCGACCAATTTTTACCCGATATCAACCTCAACTCATAGTCTAAGCGGATGAGTCTCGATGGTTGCCTCACTTTCCATGAGGTAGTTCAAGAAAACCTCAAAGTAGTCCTCAAATTTTTCCTATAGATTTTTTCGTGCTCTCTCGGATCGACCGTTTCGGGAGCTCGATAGCGTGCATGCAAGTATCATCTCCAAAAACTAGAAAAATGCATTATTTGCCCTTAAACGTCATTTTTTTCAAAAAATAATCCCGAAATCATGGCCAAAGGCAATGAGTTTTTATCGTTTGCTCGTTCAGCTTTAAAATAGGTCTAAAACCAATCAAAACTTGATCGGTCGTTTTTGGGTCAAAATCAACCTCGGCTCACAGTCGAGGCCGATGAGTCTCGATGGTTGTCCCTTTTTCCATGAGGTAGGTCCTAAAAACCTCAAACACGGGCTTACGGTATTTCTATAGATTTCTTCGCACTCGCTCACATCGACCATTCTATGACCTCGAAAGACCACATGCCCGCATCATCTCGAAAAGCAAAAAAAAGTATTTTTTAGGCCAAAATGTCATTTTTTTCAACAATCGGCCCGAGGTCAATGCCAAAGGCGATGAGTTTGGGTTGTTGACTCATTTGGCATCAAACTAGGTCTAAAACTAATCAAAACTTGGCCAATTGTTTTTGGCTCGAAATCGACCTTAGCTTATAGTCTAAGCGGATGAGTCTCGATGGTTGTATTGCTTTCCATGAGGTAGTTCAAGAAAACCTCAAACTAGGCCTTAAAGTTTTCCTATAGATTTTTTCATGCTCGCTCGGATTGACCGTTCTAGGAGCTCGAAAGCTCGCATGCAAGTATCATCTCAAAAAACTAGAAAAGTGCATTTTTTGCCCTTAAATGTAATTTTTTTCAAAAAATAATCTTGAGGTCATGGCCAAAGGCAATGAGTCTTGATTGTTCGCTCGTTCGTCTTCAAAATAGGTCTAAAACCACCCAAAACTTAGTCGGTCGTTTTTGGGCCAAAATCAACCTCATCTCACAGTCGAGGCCGTTGAGTCTCGATTGTTGTCCCTTTTTCCATGAGATAGGTGCCAAAAACCTCAAACATGGGCTTATAGTTTTTCTATAGATTTCTTCGTGCTCGCTCACATCAACCATTTTATTACCTCGAAAGCCCATATGCTTTCATCATCTCGAAAAGTGAAAAAAAAGTATTTTTTTAGCCTAAAAGTCATTCTTTTGCAACAATCGGCCCGAGGTCAAGGCCAAAGGTAATGAGTTTTGGTCATTGGCTCATTTGGCATTGAACTAGGTCTAAAACTAATCAAAACTTGGTTGGTCTTTTTTGGCTCGAAATCAACCTCGACTTATATCTAAGCGAGATGAGTCTTGATGGTTGCCACACTTTCCACGAGGTAGTTCAAGAAAAACCTCAAAGCAAGCCTTAAATTTTTCCTACGGACTTTTTTATGCTCGCTCGGATCGACCGTTCTAGGAGCTCAAAAGCTCGCATGCCGATATCATCTCAAAAACCGAAAAAGTGCATTTTTTATGCGTAAATGTCATTTTTTCAAAAAATAACTCGGAGGTCATGGCCAAAGGTAATGAGTTATGATCGTTGGCTTGTTCGGCTTTGAACTATGTGTAAAACCACTCATAACTTGGTCGAGTCCTTTTTGTGCCAAAATCAACCTCAACTCATAGTTGAGGTCGATGCGCCTCGATTGTTATCCCTTTTTCCATGAGGTAGGTTCGAAAAACCTCAAAAATGGGCTTACCGTTTTTCTATGGATTTCTTTGCGCTCGCTCACACCGACCATTCTATGACCTCGAAAGCCCACATGTCCATATCATCTCGAAAAGCAAAAAAAAGGTATTTTTTGGGTCTAAATGTTGTTTTCTTTGCAAAAATCAGCCCGAGGTCAAGGCCAACGACTATGAGTTTTGGTCGTTGGCTCATTTGGTATCAAACTAGGTGTAAAATAAGTCAAAACTTAGCCGATCATTTTTTACCCGAAATCGACCTCGACTTATAGTCTAAGTGGATGAGTCTCGATGGTTGCCTCGCTTTCCATAAGGTAGTTCAAGAAAACCTCAAACCGAGCCTTAAAGTTTTCCTATATATTTTTTTGTGTTTGCTCGTACCAACCGTACCAAGAGCTCAAAAGCTCGCATGTAAGTATCATCTCAAAAAACTAGAAATGTGCATTTTTCGCCCCTAAATGTCATTTTTTTTTCAAAAATAAGCTTGAAGTCATGCTTAAAGGCAATGAGTTTTGATTGTTCGCTCGTTCGGCTTCAAAATAGGTCTAAAACAACTAAAAACTTGGTCGGTCGTTTTTAGGCCAAAATCAACCTCGCCTCATAGTCGAGGCCGATGAGTCTCGATGGTTGTCCCTTTTTCCATGAGGTAGGTCCCAAAAACCTCAAACATGAGCGTATAATTTTTCTATAGATTTCTTCGCGCTTGCTCACATCGACCATTCTATGACCTCGAAGACCCACATGCCCGCATCATCTTAAAAAGTGATAAAAAGGTATTTTTTGGGCCTAAACATTGTTTTTTTGCAAAAATCAGCCCGAGGTCAAGGCCAAGGCAATGAGTTTTGGTAGTTGGCTCATTTGGCATCGAACTAGGTCTAAAATAAGTCAAAACTTAGCCGGCCAATTTTGACCCGAAATCAACCTCAGCTCATAGTCTAAGCGAATGAGTCTCGATGGTTGCCTCGCTTTCCATGAGGTTGTTCAAGAAAACCTCAATCCGAGCCTTAAAGTTGTCCTATAGATTTTGTTGTGCTCGCTCGTACCGATCGTTCCGGGAGCTCGAAAGCCTCGTATGTAAGTATCATCTCAAAAAACTAGAAAAGTGCATTTTTTGTCCCTAGACGTCATTTTTTTCAAAAAATAATCCCGAGGTAATGGCCAAAGGTAATGAGTTTTGATCGTTCGCTCGTTCGGCTTCAAAATAGGTCTAAAACCACTCAAAACTTGGTTGGTCATTTTTGGGCCAAAAACAACCTCGACTCATAGTCGAGGCCGATAAGTCTCGATTGTTGCCCATTTTTCCATGAAGTAGGTCCTAAAAACCTCAAACATGGGCTTACAGACTTTTCTATAGATTTCTATGAGCTTGCTCACATCGACCATTCTATGACCTCGAAAGCCCACATGCCCGCATCATTTTGAAAATTAAAAAAAAAGTATTTTGTTGGGCTAAATATTGTTTTTTTGTAACTTTCAGCCGGAGGTCAAGGCCAAAGGCGATTAGTTTTGGTATGACCTCGAAAACCCACATGCCCGCATCATCTAAAAAAGTGATAAAAAGGTATTTTCCTAAATGTTGTTTTTCCGCAAAAATCAGCCCGAGGTCAAGGCCAAGGGAAATGAGTTTTGGTCGTTGGCTCATTCAAAGCATCGAACTAGGTCTAAAATAAGTCAAAACTTGGCCAACCAATTTTGACCCAAAATCAACCTCGACTCATAGTCTAGGCAAATGAGTCTCGATGGTTGCCTCGCTTTCCATGAGGTAGCTCAAGAAAACCTCAATCCAGGCCTTAAAGTTTTCCTATAGATTTTGTTGTGCTTGCTCGTACCGACCGTTCCGGGAGCTCGAAAGTTTGCATGTAACTATCATCTCAAAATACTAGAAAAACGCATTTTTTCCCCTAAACATCATTTTTTTCAAAAAATAATCCTAAGGTAATGACCAAAGGCAATGAGTTTTGATCATTCGCTCGTTCGGCTTCGAATAGGTCTAAAACCACTCAAAACTTGGTCGGTCATTTTTGGGCAAAAAACAACCTTAGCTCATAGTCGAGGCCAATGAGTCTTGATTGTTGTCCATTTTTCCATGAAGTAGGTCCCAAAAACCTCAAATATAGGCTTACAGCTTTTCTAAAGATTTCTATGAGCTCGCTCACATCGACCATTCTATGACCTCGAAAACCCACATGCTCGCATCATTTCGAAAAGTAAAAAAAAAAGTATTTTGTTGGGCTAAATATTGTTTTTTTGTAACATTCGACCAGAGGTCAAGGCCAAAGGCGATTAGTTTTGGTATGACCTCGAAAACCCACATGCTCGCATCATCTTGAAAAGCGATAAAAAGGTATTTTTTGGGCCTAAACGTTGTTTTTTTGCAAAAATCAGCCCGAGGTCAAGGCCAAGGGCAATGAGTCTTGGTCGTTGGCTCATTTGGCATCGAACTAGGTCTAAAATAAGTCAAAACTTAGCCGACCAATTTTGACTCGAAATCAACCTTAGCTCATAGTCTAAACGAATGAGTCTCGATGGTTGCCTTGCTTTCCATGAGGTTGTTCAAGAAAACCTCAATTCGAGCCTTAAAGTTTTCCTATAGATTTTGTTATGGTCACTCATACCGATCGTTCCAGGAGCTCGAAAGCTCGTATGTAAGTATCATCTCAAAAAACTAGAAAAGTGCATTTTTTGCCCCTAAATGTCAGCTTTTTCAAAAAATAATCTTGAGGTAATGGCCAAAGGCAATGAGTTTTGATCGTTCGCTCGTTCGGCTTTAAAATAGGTCTAAAACCATTCAAAACTTGGTCGGTCGTTTTTGGGCCAAAAACAACCTCGACTCACGATTGAGGCCGATGAGTCTCAATTGTTGTCCCTTTTTCCATGAGGTAGGCGCAAAAAACCTCAAACATGGGCTTATATTTTTTCTATAGATTTCTTCGCGCTCACTCACATCGATCATTCTATGACCTCGAAAGCCCACACGCCCGCATCATCTCGAAAAGCGATAAAAAGGTATTTTTTGGGCCTAAACGTTGTTTTTCCGCAAAAATCAGCCCGACGTCAAGGCCAAGGGCAATGAGTTTTGGTCGTTGGCTCATTTGGCATCGAACTAGGTCTACAATAAGTCAAAACTTGGCCGACCAATTTTGATCCAAAATTAACCTTAGCCCATAGTCTAAGCGAATGAGTCTCGATGGTTGCCTTGCTTTTACATGAGGTACTTCAAGAAAACTTGAAACTAGGCCTTAAAGTTTTCGTATAGATTTTTTCGTGCTCGATCGAACCGACCGTGCTAGGAGCTCGAAACCTTCATGCAAGTATCATCTCAAAAAACTCAAAAGTGCATTTTTTGCCCTTAAATGTCGTTTTTTTTTAAATAATCTTGAGGTCATGACCAAAGGCAATGAGTTTTGGTCGTTGGCTCATTTGGCATCGAACTAGGTCTAAAATAAGTCAAAACTTAGCTAGCCAATTTTGACTCGAAATCAACCTTAGCTCATAGTCTAAGCGAATGAGTCTCGATGGTTGCCTTGCTTTCCATGAGGTTGTTCAAGAAAACCTTAATCCGAGCCTTAAAGTTTTCTTATAGATTTTTTTGTGCTCGCTTATACCGACCATTCCCGGAGCTCGAAAGCCCGCATGGAAGTATCATCTCAAAAAACTAGAAAAGTGCATTTTTTGCCCCTAAATGTCAGCTTTTTCAAAAAATAATCTTGAGGTAATGGCCAAAGGCAATGAGTTTTGATCGTTCGCTCGTTCGGCTTCAAAATAGGTCTAAAACCATTCAAAACTTGGTCGGTCGTTTTTGGGCCAAAAACAACCTCGACTCACGACTGAGGCCGATGAGTCTCAATTGTTGTCCCTTTTTCCATGAGGTAGGTGCAAAAAACCTCAAACATGGGCTTATATTTTTTCTATAGATTTCTTCGTGCTCACTCACATCGATCATTCTATGACCTCGAAAGCCCACACGCCCGCATCATCTCGTAAAGCGATAAAAAGGTATTTTTGGGCCTAAACGTTGTTTTTCCGCAAAAATCAGCCCGAGGTCAAGGCCAAGGGCAATGCATTTTGGTCGTTGGCTCATTTGGCATCGAACTAGGTCTACAATAAGTCAAAACTTGGGCGACCAATTTTGACCCGAAATCAACCTTAGTCCATAGTCTAAGCGGATGAGTCTCGATGGTTGCGTCGCTTTTACATGAGGTAGTTCAAGAAAACCCGAAACTAGGCCTTAAAGTTTTCGTATGGATTTTTTCGTGCTCGATCGGACCGACCGTGCTAGGAGCTCGAAACCTTCATGCAAGTATCATCTCAAAAAACTCAAAAAGTGCATTTTTTGCCCCTAAACGTCGTTTTTTTTTAAAATAATCCCGAGGTCATGACCAAAGGCAATGAGTTTTGATCATTCACTCGTTCGGCCTCAAAATAGGTCTAAAACCACTCAAAACTTTGTCGATCGTTTTTGGGCCAAAATCAACGTCATCTCACGAGTCGAGGCCGATGAGTCTCGATGGTTGTACCTTTTTCCATGAGGTAGGTGCCAAAAACCTCAAACATGAGCCCGAAATTCTTCTATAGATTTCTTCGTGCTCACTCACACCGACCATTTTATGACCTCGAAAACCCATATGCCGACATCATCTCGAAAAGCGACAAAAAGGTATTTTTTGGGCCTAAACGTTGTTTTTCTATTAAAATCAGCTCGAGGTCAAGGCCAAGGGCGATGAGTTTTGGTCATTGGCTCATTTAGCATCGAACTAGGTCTAAAATAAGTCAAAACTTGGCCGATCATTTTTGGCTCAAAATGAACCTTAGCTTATAGTCTAAGTGGATGAGTCTTGATGGTTGCCTCGCTTTCCATGAGGTAGTTAAAGAAAACCTCAATCCAGGCCTTAAAGTTTTTCTATAGATTTTTTTATGCTCGCTCAAACCGACCGTTCCAGGAGCTCGAAAGCTTGCATTCAAGTATCATCTCAAAAAACTAGAAAAATGCATCTTTTACCCCTAAACGTCATTTTTTTCAAAAAATAATCCCGAAATCATGGCCAAAGGCAATGAGTTTTGATCGTTCGCTCGTTCGGCTTCAAAATAGGTCTAAAACCACTCAAAACTTTGTCGGTCCTCTTTGGGCCAAAATCAACCTCGACTCACGGTCGAGGCCGATGAGTCTCGATGGTGTCCCTTTTTCCATGAGGTAGGTGCCAAAAACCTCAAACATGGGATTACAGCTTTTCTATAGATTTCTTCGTGCTCGCTCACATCGACCATTCTATGACCTCGAAAGCCCACATGCCCGCATCATCTCGAAAAGAAAAAAAAAGTGTTTTGTGGGCCTAAACGTCGTTTTTTTGAAAAATCAGCTCGAGGTCAAGGCCGGAGATGATGAGTTTTGGTCATTGGATCACTTGGCATTGAATTAGGTCTAAAACTAATAAAAACTTGGTCGATCGTTTTTGGCCTCAAATCAACCTTAGCTCATAGTCTAGGTCGATGAGTCTCGATGGTTGCCTCGCTTTCCATGAGGTAGTTCAAGAAAACCACAAACCAGGCCTTAAAGTTTTCCTATAGATTTTTTTATGCTTGGTCATACCGATCGTTCTTGGAGCTCGAAAGCCTACATGTCGGTATCATCTCAAAATACCGCAAAAGTGCATTTTTCGTGCCTAAACATCATATTTTTCAAAAAATAACCCGGGGACATGGCCAAAGGTAATGAGTTGTGATCGTTGGCTCTTCGGCTTTGAACGAGGTCTAAAACCACTCATAACTTGGTCGGTCGTTTTGGGCCAAAATCAGCCTCAACTCACAGTCGAGGCCGATATGCCTTGATGGTTGTCCCTTTTTCCCCGACACAGGTGCCAAAAACCTCAAATAAGGGCTTATAGTTTTTCTACGGATTTTTTCACGCTCGTTCACACCGACCATTCTATGACCTCAAAAGCCCGCATGCCCGCATCATCCGGAAAAGCTAAAAACAGGTATTTTTTATGCCTAAATGTAGTTTTTTTCAAAAATAAGCCCGATGTCAAGGCCAAGGGCGATGAGTTTTGGTCGTTGGCTCATTTGGCATCAAACTAGGTCTAAAACAACTCAAAACTTGGTCGGTCTTTTTGGCCCAAAATCAACCTCAACTCATAGTCTAGGCCAATGAGTCTTGATGGTTTTCTCGTTTTCCATGATGTAGTTCAAGAAAACGTCAAACAAGGCCTTCAAGTTTTGCTATAGATTTTTCAACGCTCACTCGGATCGACCGTTCTAGGAGCCCGAAAGCTTGCATGCTAGTATAATCTCAAAAAACTAGAAATATGCATTTTTTGCGACTAAACGTCATTTTTTTCAAAAAATAACATAGTGGTCATGGCTAAAGGTAATGAGTAGTGATCGTTGGCTCGTTCGGCTTTAAACGAGGTCTAAAACCGGTAAGAACTTGGTCGATCATTTTTGGGCCAAAATCAACCTCGACTCACAATCGAAGCCGATGAGTCTCGATGGTTGACTCTTTTTCCTTGAGGTCGGTCCCAAAAACCTCAAACATGAGCTTATAGTTTTTCTATAGATTTCTTCACACTCGCTCGCATTGACCATTCCATGGCCTCGAAAGCCCGCATGCTCGCATCATCTCGAAAAGCAAAAAAAAGGTATTTTTTGGGCCTAAATGTCGTTTTTTACAAAAATCAGCTCGAGGTCAAGGCCAAGGGTGATGAGTTTTGGTCATTGACTCATTTGGCATCGAACTATGCCTAATACTAGTCAAAAGTTGGTCGTTCATTTTTGGCCTAAAATCAACCTCGACTCATAGTCTAAGCCCATGAGTCTCGATGGTTGCCTCACTTTCCATGAGGTAGTTCAAGAAAACGTTAAACCAAGTCTTAAATTTTTCCTATAGATTTTTCTCGTGCCGGCTCGATTGACCGTTCAAGGAGCTCGAAGGCATGCATGCTAGTATCGTCACAAAAAACTAGAAAAGTGAATTTTTCATTCCAAAACGTCATTTTTTTTCAAAAAATAACCCGAAGGTCATGGCCAAATGTAATGAGTAGTGATCGTTGGCTCGTTCGGCTTTGAGCTAGGTCTAAAACCACTCATAACTTGGTCTATCGTTTTTGGGCCAAAGTCAACCTTAGCTCACGGTCGAGGCCGATGAGCCTCGATGGTTGCCCCATTTTCCCCGACGCGAGTGCCAAAAACCTCAAACAAGGGCTTATATTTTTCTATAGATTTCTTCGTGCTTGTTCACATCGATCATTCCGTGACCTCGAAAGGCCGCATGCCCGTATTATCTCGAAAAGCTAAAAAAGGTTTTTTTGTGCCTAAATGTATCTTTTAAAAACAATCGGCTCGAGGTCAAGGCCAAGGGCGATGAGTTTTCATCGTTGGTTCATTTGGCATTAAACAAGGTCTAAAAAAGTCAAAACTTGATCGGTTGTTTTCGACCAAAAATCAACATCAACTCATAGTCTAGGTCGATAAGTCTCGATGGTTGCCTCACTTTCCATGAGGTAGTTCAAGAAAACCTCAAACCGAGCCTTAACGTTTTCCTAAAGATTTTTTTATGCTCGGTCGAGCCGATCGTTCCGGGAGCTCGAAAGCCCGCACGTCGGTATCATCTAAAATACCGCAAAAGTGCATTTTTCGTGCCTAAACGTCATTTAAAAAAAAATAACATGGAGGTCATGGACAAAGGTAATGAGTTGTGATCCTTGGCTCGTTCGGCTTTGGACAAGGTCTAAAACCGCTCATAACTTGGTCGGTCATTTTTTGGCAAAAATCAACCTCGGCTTACGGTCGAGCCCGTTGAGCTATGATGGTTGTCCCTTTTTCCCTAACATAAGTGCCAAAAACCTTAAATAAGAGCTTATACTTTTTCTATAGATTTCTTCGCGCTCGCTCACGGCGACCATTCTATGACCTTAAAAGCCCGCATGCCCTCATCATCTCGAAAAGCTAAAAAAGGTTTTTTTTTAGGCCTAAACATCATTTTTTAAAAAACAATCTGCCCGAGGTCAAGGCTAAGGGCGATGAGTTTTTGGTCGTTAACTCATTTGGCATCAAACTAGGTCTAAAACAAGTCAAAACTTGGCCGGTCATTTTTGGCTCAAAATCAACCTCG